GAGATCAGCTATGGCAGATTATGCACGAGTACGGATTTCCGGATAAACTGACGCGATTGGTCAAAGCGACGATGGATCGAGTAATGTGCGTTGTTCGAGTATCGGGGACACTCTCGAGTCCCTTTGAATCTCAAAGGGGGCTACGGCAAGGTGATGGACTTTCGTGACTGCTATTCAACATCGCGTTAGAAGGTGTGATCAGAAGAGCTGGGATAGACACGAGTGGCACGATGTTCAGGAAGTCAATCCAGCTTCTTGGCTTCGCCGATGACATTGACATCATGGCACGGAACTTTGAGACGATGGCGGAAACGTACATCAGACTGAAGGCTGAAGCTAGGCGGATTGGACTTTCCATCAACGCATCGAAGACAAAATACATGAAAGGAAGAGGTTCTAGGGAAGACAATGTTAGCCTCCCACCCCGAGTTCAGATTGACGGTGACGAAATCGAGGTGGTTGACGAGTTCGTGTATTTGGGCTCACTGGTGACCACCGAAAATAATACCAGCAGAGAAATTCAGAGACGCATTATGGCAGGGAATCGTGCCTACTTTGGACTCCGGAGGACGCTCCGGTCGAATAAAATTCGCCGCCGTACGAAAATGACTGTCTACAAGACGCTGATTAGACCGGTGGTCCTCTACGGCCACGAGACCTGGACTATGCTCGTGGAGGACCAACGCGTCATTGGTGTTTTCGAACGGAAGGTGTTGCGTACCATCTACGATGAAGTACAGATGGATGACGGAATGTGGAGGAGGCGAATGAACCACGAATTGCACCAGCTGCTAGAACAACCATCCATCGTCCACATTGCAAAAATCGGGCGACTACGGTGGGCTGCGCACGTCGTAAGAATGCAGCACGACGACCCAGTGAAAATGGTTCTAGAAAGCGACCCAACAAGAACAAGAAGAAGAGGCGCGCAGCGGGCAAAGTGGATCGACCAAGTAGAAGGCGACCTGCGGACCCTTCGCATGGATCGAGTAGAGTGGAGACGACTTCTTCGGACAGCAGAGGACAACAAGACCTTAGTCTGATTGGTAAGGTAAGGTATGAAATGTCGATGTTAATTTACATCGATGAAGGGCTTCACACATGTTTTCGAAGGTTTTGATTCTTTCCTTGAAGTTTATTAAAAGGCTGGAAATAGGGGCCTAAGTATTTTAATCTTAAGAACGATTAACTGGTGGAGACACTCAGTTATTCCAGAGATGGTGATGTTTCCTTCTCACAGTCCCGCAATGAAATGTTGCTTCAACCGTTCTGCTACAAGTGTACTGCTAGGGTGGTAGTCATTGTTTGAATTCAGTATGGGAGAGAATAGAAAACTAATTATTTGCACTGATCACTACCAGTAATGAAAAATTCGTGTGCTCAAGTACATAGAGTTAGAAAATATCTATCCTCTGTACAGAGACGAACCAGTTAATAGCTGACATTCTCTATAATAAAGAAATTAATCAATATTTCCGCTGGAACAACATCTATCTTTAAATTGTTGTTAATTTACTGAAAAATTAATTAAAACAGTTCATTCCCTTATTCTTTACTGATGTCTTCCTACCAAGAGAGGAAGCTATTTTGTCTCTCACACAATTATCTCTCTCACGAGCTCAATATCTCAACATTACATGTATTTTAACGACACACGATGCATTTTTCCCTCTCACAGACTTCAAAATACAGTTCCTGCCACTGACAAAGTTTTTTTTAACTAGTTTGTTTATTTACTAGGCTCAGTCGTGTGTGACACTTAGCGTAATTTTTGGATTAACATTTTAAACAGCAGTAAATCTAGATAAGGGTACCAATTACTCGTGGCGGGCTCGAGGTTAATGGGTAACAATTTCGATTGGAAGGAGTTAGGTAGGAAGCAAGTTTCTGAAGCCTCCTTCAGATACTACTCTCGAACGGTTTACCAAATGGTTGCTGGGCAGGGGCAAGTAGCACAGAAACAGGTGGATAATAAGACTGGGACACAATGAATGGAGGAAAATAGGGGATGGTCACCTCAAACTCTAACATCAGACAAACAAAGGAATTCATAGATCGCCTGCATGTAGGAAAGATCACGGGTTTCCAATACATCTCTTACTTCACGGAAGGGTTGTCTACCTCGTTGTAAACACTAGGGTATCCTATAGATGTGCTCTGGAGGCGTCATTACCCGGGCAATGCCAAACTGCGTGATCGATGTCATCATAATCGGTTCTGCATATTCATATATTGCGTCTAGCGAGTAGTGGTTGGACATAAGGCTTGACATCACGCGAATGAATCCCCGACTTACATTCAGACCTTTGAACCACGCTCTCGAAGGAACAGTTGGAGTAATGTTTTGCCAACTTAGAAGATAACTCTGACGTACTAATGGGAAAAAATCATCATGTGAAATTCTTCTATCATAAATCTCGCCTTGTTGTGCGCCCACCTTTGCGAGAGAGTCTGCCTTCTCATTGCCTGGGATTGAGCAATGTGAGAGAACCCATACAAAGGTAATCATATATGATCTTTCGACCAGCAAACTCATCTGCTCCCTTACCTTTGAAAGGAAATAAGATGAGTGCCTACCTTGTTTCATCGAACGAATAGCCTCAATCAACTGAGACTATCCGAGAAGATGAAGTAATGGTCTGTGGGCATGACGGATATCATTCCCAACGCGGAACAAGCTTCCTGAAGTTTCCGGAAGGCGGTTGAGTATTCATTGAAGACACCGAAGTCAGTAGATCCATCAATGCGTGATCCATCAGCGAAAAATCTTCTATTGCAATTGACTTGCTGGTACTTTTCAGCAAAAATACGGGGGATTGAGATAGGTCGAATCTGGAACTCCTTGAGTAACCTATTTCATCAAGAGATCATAGTCAATGGGGGAACTGTAGTTAGTAAAGCATAGATCGGAAGGCTAATATCCGATGACATATAATTAAGGTAGATTCGCAAGAATCTAGTCAGGGTGCTCAATTCGAGCATTGCTTCGAAGTTTTCAATCACAAGGTTGTTACTGACACTACATTTGATCAAAACTCTTAATGAGAGATCCCAAAAACGGTTCTGCAGGGGTTTTTCGCCCGCTAGAACTTCTAGGCTCATATTGTGTGTTGAATGTATACAGCCAAGGGCAAATACATAAACAACGATATTGAATACGTTCCAATTTGATTAGGTGGCTATCTTAAGTTTCAATCGATTTTTTGTTGCGTGAAGCAAATAAATGTTGAAATTCGAGTAGTTAAATGTTTATATTAAGATGATTGAACACTTACTGTGTAGTTTTTCTATAGTTCATTCATTATGGAATAGAGGCACTTTTAAATGCTAATAGTGACTTTTAGCTACTCGCCCTGTGTTTCACTGAATCATGCTACGTCGCTGGTCTCAAGTTTCAATATATAGAAAATACCAATCAAGACGTGCTAGTCAATTGCAAAAAGTGATCCAAATTGCTGATCATGGTATAGCATGCAACATCACCCTACTGCTTCTCTTTTAGATGACTACATTGGTCATGACGAGAGAAGCCAAACAATAGTTGGGTAAAGAAGAGTTTCATTATACACACCATTGGCTGGAAATACTTTCGGCAACGTGGGACTTTAGGTAGTGATTACCCAGCCAACCAGAATGCACGTATGTGCAAAGTTGTTTCTGTGCTTTGAAAACATATACATATACAAACAAACAAATCGTTTAGAATGCATTAACATGCAATAGTGGAGTCAATATACCTCCAAATTTTAATTTATTTTTAAACGAGTTAATTTGACATCATACACGATTTAACCTCTTACAACAAATTCTATTTGAAAACTCTTACGATGTAATCCGATTTAATTTGCGATACAGTTCGATGGAAAAATGATTCACTGCATATGAGTCGGAAATTTGCATTCTATACGATTTAATTTAAACATAATGTGATGTATTTCGTTCTTATAGGCGATATTGACTTAAACTGTAGTAATTTACGATACTGTCTTTACATTGTTATACGACTTCTGGTTGTCTGGGAAACGTCGCTAGAACTATTACACAGTCACAGACAGCATATGAGCAAGTCAAAAGCGCACTCTTTTGCCTGTGGATTTGAGGAAATACCTCAAATTCCCTCATTCATCAAAGTATGAGTTAGGCAAAGGAGTGTGCATTTTATTAGTGTTGTCGCATTAATTGCCCTTCTCTCAATTTCAACTTCTATTCAATTTTCACAATGCCTTACTCTAGCGGAACTATCAATCTATCCTCTTCGGAACTTTCTCTAGCTAATAAATGATCGCACCAAAGCTTCATGTAGATATTAGTATAGCATTTACTCCCAACTCTGATCGAAATTAGTTTATCGTCGAAAGTATATTTAGTATATACTGTATATATTTTCTTAAAAGTTATGTTAAAAACTACTTTAGAACATTCCATAATCACCAAAGCACATAGACGCAGGGTTTTAATTTAAATTTGAGCTCAGACCCCCTAGAGTCTTAAAGCGACCCTGGACTATCAAACGACCATGTATTTTCAATAAAGATGCGCAGCCACAAATTTTACTGATGGAAGGTATGAATTGACCAATTATACACATTCCTAGTCCATGACACTGTTACAATAATTTCCCCAATAAAACATATTTAGGTTGAAGTTTTGTGAAAATATCCAATATGTTAAATTAAATGCATGACAGTCATCCGCATACCTATCTATTGGCTATTGGACTGTCTTATTTTCATAGTAAATAAGTTCAAATTTATTGGCCGATATGCCACAAACAATCTTTTTGTATTGACCAAGTGACTTAACACAAATAACTGCTGAAATTAAAGCGTTGTCATTCACAAGATTATACACTAAACCGCTCATGTTTGTGCTTCGCAAATCTGGCGACCCTAATCCATGATCCGATCTTAATCCGCAACTGTCACAGAGAACCGATCTTATCACCCGTTTTCCATGTCATCTTCTCCCATCCCTTCTTTCTCTCACTCTTGTCTTTGCAGAACGATCGAATAACCAAACTGAAGATCGATAACAACCCGTTCGCCAAAGGATTCCGCGAGACGGGCCAGTCCCGCTGCAAGAGGAAGCTGGGCAGCAGTAGTGGCAGCAGCAATACATCAACGTCATCTTCCTCGTCGTCGTTGTCGTCCTCGGGAACATGTGGCCAAATGACAGATGACGAGGATCGCAACGATCTGCAACAGCTCCACGAGGCAAAGCGGGCCAGATCAAACGAGTTGTCCGATCCGATGGACCCCGGGCGGCTGCTGATGGGAGGAGGAGAAGGAGGAGGGTTGGACGATGGCATGGGGTCCGACGTGCTGCGGTTGCACATGCAACGAAGGTTCCCACCCGGGTCCTCAGCGGCAGCTGCCGCCGCCAACGAACTACTGATGCGTCAGTACAATCAAATGTTTAATCCCAGCTGGATGGATCTGATGATACCGTACTTCGCTCGAAATCCTTACCATCAACCGATGGGACCGCAACATGCTCCTCCTTCGCAAATGGGACATCCCTTCCTACCGATGGTGAATCATCATCCGCAAGCGACGCTACTTCCTGCCCCGGTGGCGCCGCAAATATCACCCACGGAGTCCATTCCCGAGTCAGACCGATCATCGGCCTTCAGCGTGACGCAACCGTTGAGTTCGGAAGATCTGCCGCCAGTTCGATCATCACCTGCCCCTCGGTTGGCATCACCGGTGGAGTTGCATTCTGCCAGCAACGGTGGCAATGCTCCTCCCAGTGATCAACGGGATGGCAATAACGATGATAGTAAGAAGGTGAACTTCAGTATTGCTTCCATTTTGCTCTTATAGGACTGCTAGTGTGAGTGTTTGTGATTTAGATTTTGCGGTTTCTGTATAATACTCCTGTGTGTTTATATTTATAACTCCTTCGGACACCTCATTGTCAAGTGCCTTTGCATTTTTACGAGAAAGTATTGAGATTGTGAATAGAATCTATTGCTTTGAATAAATGATATTATTTGATTTTACATTACACAGTTGGAAAAGAGTTTCATTTCGTTCCGAAAATATCTTGAACTATCTTTACTGATTTTGACGAGCTTGGCAATAATACCTTTTGGCATTACATTTTCAAGAAGATATTCCTGTATTCCTTTTGAAGTTTCACATTATTCAAATTTCACCAATTGTCTTTCCCAGCTAAACTAAGATCGTCTTGGCATTGTTCTCTTGTTCAAAGCTTAGCCCTCTCGAGCCCATCCATTCTTCAATTCTTCTCCTCAAGTAGGGCCATCATTGTGAACCATTCTACAGTGAAATTAAATTATCCGGTAGCCCGGCTGGCTCAAGCAAATATTTGTCCACCTTCACAAAGAGAGGAAAGATTGGTACCAAAGAAAGAGTTTCTTTTCCCAAAGACTACGAAGAGCCACTCAAATAATAAGTCTTAAAATTTGAACATAATTGTCATCCAGTTTAAGCAGCAACCGATAGGTCGTCTGCTCGCATTCTTCCCGCAACAACGTCCGAAAGCAGGATGATGATCGATCCCGAACCGATTGTGGTCCACTCGAAAGCAGAGGTCTTGTCTCGAAATAATGAAATCCACTCGAAAACTGAGCCAGATTTCATTATTATGTTAATGCCGGAATTTAATCCATTTTAATGCAGATTAGAGCCCAACCGGCAGCAATGAAAGTTGAGACGGAAAAGGGAGAAAAGGTCTCAGTGACTTGGTGTTGTGTCGGTGGAAAGGTTCGACCATTGAAGGGATCATGAAGGAGAAAGGAGATTTGGAGATGATACCTATTTTTCACATTTCTTAGCTAGGAAGATCCCTAGAGAGAACTGCTCGCTGGAGGAGCTTAGTGACAGTGGAGCGTGCGCCGGTAAGTGTATTTTTTGTCGGCTTTTTCTAGGCTTGTTTTGAACTTCAAGTGTTGCTGTATGTGTTGAAATACACACGTCACCGGGGGAAGGATCGGTAGCGCATTCAGTGGGCAATATAGATGAATAAATCCACGCCAAATAGCGAACGAATTTTAGATTTTGCTTCGCAGAATTCCATGAAACTTCGGATAATTGTTCACTGAGGGTAATTAATCAAGTTTGTTCTGAAATTTGACCATTTTGAAACTCGCCTAACTTTTTAAAATAGTGTATTCGATATTTTCAATTAATCATAGCTCAAAAACGACTCATCTAATCAACGTCTGAAACATAGTTGAAGGAAATTGAATTTCCTTTTCAGAAAAAAAAATACATGCTGAAAAAAATCACAAAATTTTAACAAACAATTAAAACATAATGTTATTAACTTCAGTAGAAAGTAAATTTTTCAAATTTAAAAATTTATTTAGCTTGAATGATTTTTTTAAAAAAACTAACTGATATGGAAAACGACTCATCTAATCAACGTCTGAAACATAGTTGAAGGAAATTGAATTTCCTTTTCAAAATACATGCTGAAAAAAATCACAAAATTTTAACAAACCATTAAAAACATAATGTTATTAACTTCAGTAGAAAGTACATTTTTCAAATTTAAAAATTTATTTAGGTTGAATGATTATCAAAAAAAAACTAACTGATATGGATATTCATGGCATCTTCCAAATAGGCTTCAATGTTCAATTTATCTTGGATTATCAAATGGTATATTCAGTCCTCTATATCCGTGATACGCGCGCGAGGTTCAAACCTTTGTAGATCACTTTTTAATAACTGCTACTTTAAAATCAAATATTAAAAATCCATCATCACCATCGTGGCCAATAAAATGGTTTTTGCAGTGCTACAATTATTATTAAAAAGTCGTTATGATAGCTATCCAAACAAAATAATCCGTTACAAACTTCGTCAAGATACATCATTCATCCATTCATAAAAATAAATTCATTAGATAAATGTTCAAAAGACAGTCTTAGTCAAGTCTTCTAAATGCTGTAAGTGTAGTTGCACGTTTAATGTATCTAGACATTGAAGTAAATTTTTTTTAAAAAAATAATGAATTTTGTGAAGTACAGGTCAATAAATTTGGTGTTCTTATTTCATCCGCGTTCCTGGTTTTATATCTATGAAGGTCACTTTCTTTTTCACACAAATATCGAGGCAGCAGAGCGTTAACTCCTTTAAAAATGAACATCATAATCAAATATACAATTTTTTGCTTTACCGACAACCATTTTAAAGCATCGAAGTTGAGGAAGTGAATCTATTACAGCTCAAAATCAAACGCATTTTGTTTTAGTGTGCAAGCACTATAATCTCGATATTTGTGTTGCATTGGCCAGAAATAAAATGGAAGGGTTAAAGTCTAGGTAAGGAGAGTTGATTGATTTGTTTAGTTGTATCGTACTGGTAATAGTTAAATCGTTTTTCAATCGACATAGAATTCCATACTTCTTGAAAATTTTCATGATGACATTGTCAATGTGAGAGTTGAACTTAATGTTGTCATCAATAACCACACCAAGATATTTAATCTCCCGAACGCTATCAATGGAATGGAACTCGTCAGTTACAACAGAGACGTTTTCATTTGCTCGTTTCCGTGAAATTACTATAAATTTAGTTTTACTTGTATTCAATTTCAACTGCTTATACTTCAACCATCTACTTAGAGAACGCAAATCTTCATTCAAGTGTAAAACGGCATCATCTAAATCCTTAGCTGCAATGAATAAAACAGTATACTCTGCAAAAAGATTAATATTGCAAAATCGTAAAACACGTCGCAAGTCATTAATTTACGTAATAAACAAAAGGGGCCCTAATACACTTCCCTGGGGCACTCCAAGGCTATTCCCCACGGGACTGAAAACAGAATCATTAAAAAATAGTCCGTTGAGTCCTGTCACACAAACAGCTTTTGAACCATTTATATGCAGTAGCGCCTGATTGATCGTAACAATAAGGGCATAGAAATTGTTTCAAAAGCACGTTTTAGATCCAAAAAAAAAAAAAAAATTCAAAAATCGTACATTTGCGCTCCAAACTATCTTGCCATTTCGCCAATACCAAATTCAACGTGGTTTCCCTTGAATGACCTTCACGATATCCCGATTTTTCTAGTATCAACAAACTATTAATATCTAGACGCAAAAAACGGATGTATCGCGGAACCATCTTGATGAAATAAAAAATTTGTGTACTCAAAATGAAGGTTATTTATTGCACTTTAAAGAAAAATAGAGAAAAAAATTATTCCAATTCTGTTTTGATGAAATCTCGAACTTTTCTTCGAATACCATTCATCATATTTTGGACATTCTGTTGGCTAACCTGAGCGGCCATTTTGTTCCACCATCTCTTCATCTCTGTCGCAACCCCAATACACCATTCCACTCTTTTTTTTTTTTTTTTTTTTTTTTTTCTTTGGTTTTGTTTTTTCCGTCGATATTGTTTTCCGTGCTGAGCACCAATGCTACCGACGTGCCAGGAAGGCAGCTCCCACACCTGGACCCTACACCTATCGACCCATCAACTCATGAACCGGGGACCAACGGCTTTACTTCCCTTGCGAAGGAAGGCGTGATCAGAGATGTTATGCCTCAGAACATCCCGGCGGCGCCGACTGGGATTGAACCCAGGCCTTCTGGGGTGAGAGGCAATCAAACTTACCACTACACCACCGGCGCCGTTTGCCATTCCACTCTTCTTCAATTTCTGTTTGACAATTGCCCAATATTCCCAGAACTTCTCCGCTGTAGTGGCAGCTTGCCTAATCAGGCCAAAACCTTACAGGTTCATTAGGAGCGGGAACAATACGTTTTTCATGCACTCCTGCTTGTACATTTTGGAATTCATTGTCTTGTTCGTCACGAAAACTTGAGTTGTTTGTCCGCAGCTGCAAATACCTTGCCAGATCATAAGCGTTCTTGCAAATTTATCGGCAAAAATGAATTTGAACTTTGTCAGGGAAACTGCATGAGAAGGCTTCCTTCGTACTTTGTAAGAACCTCATTGTACAACTTCCGGGCTCGTTTTTTGGCCACTAGATTCTGCTTCAGTGTCCTGTTTGGTTTTTCACTGGCCCAAAAAGATCGAAATCCTTCTCGCTGACTAATCCTTCTGATGGTATCATAATCCGATATCATAATCCGACAGCCCTGGGTTTGCCCTAACCGTTCTCAATACCTTCAAATGAAGCTTCCGATCCTTAGCTCCACTACGACGCTTGCTATGATCCTTCCGATTGATAGTATGCCGATCACGGAAACGTTTGAGAACACTGCACACGGTCGATTTAGACAATTCAGCTACTACGCGATTTTTGAACCTGATCACGTCGGATTTTCCAAGTCCGACCGCTAGGAGCACTGCAGTAAAATAAACAGTGCGTCCATACATTAAATGACTCAAGCTTTAGTAGCATCAACAATCAATACGAAACTAACGATTTTAAATTGGCTCCCTACTTTACTAGCCTATAGGTCCCAAGCAAACGATTAACGTACCCCATTCTAGTCGAGATTCTAGTACTACACAATGTTTGTTTTGATTTGCTATGAAAGTTTGACAGATAAAATGAGGGGTTAGTGGATTTTTCTATGATTCGAGGGGTGAATCGATTATCTTGGGACCGAAGAGTGTACCAGAGCTGAGCCAAAAAGTTGAGCACGTTTCTTCGGGACCTTCTAGTCTTAGAGCTACCTCTATGGTAGCATCGCCAGTGTGTCTGGAATGCGATAAACAAGCAGCAATTTCATATAGGGGAAATGGCTCTAATGTTGACCTATGGATCTAAGATTGGGGCCATTGCAAAAAATCTTCTTTTTTTTTTCTTTTATTTAACGTCGGTCTCTGTTCCGCAATCTAGTGCCAATCACCGCCGGACATCGATTGTCATCCATTGACGGCAATCGAATGTGCAGGAAGGCAGCCTCCCCACCTGCGTAGGATATCGCACCCAGTCAAACACACATGGGCCGAGACCAACGGCTTTACGTCACCAGAGATTTTTATGCCTCAGAAAAATCCCACCGACCTCGGCTGGGTTTGAACCCAAACC